AGTGGTCCGTGCGTAGAACAAGAGAGGCGGAGGGAGTGAGAGGCGTTTTTATTTTCCTCTTTCTTTCGACTGATTTCGATCAGCAGAAAATTGATAAAAAAAATCAATTCCTCTGTATGTATGAGTTCTGTTATTTAGAAGAACAAATTATATCCCTTTCCAAGCAGGTGAAGATTGTTCAATTCAGTTTGGTTTTGCTTTTTGATGCATCTCAGGGAACCACAATACAAGAAAGATAGAGATGGTGCAGGAGAAAGAAAGAGAGAAGAAGTTGAAGAATAAAAGATAAATAACGATGAAAGAGATACGAAAGTGAAAAATAAGATAAAAGAGAGAAAAAGTGGAAGAAGGTAAATACATAACTTATCTTTGAGGTTTCTAACCCCATTATATAACTCATCTGTATTTTTGATACATTTTTTWAAAAAATTAATTTGTGACCCCTTTTCACTTTTTGTCGTGGTAAAATTACTAAAATATCATTGTTTATTTTAAGTAAAATTATCCACAATTTCTTCTATCAGCCCTTAGCATTTTTTTTGATCCATTTTGAATCTAATATAAATCTAATATAGATTAATTTATTACTTAACAAATGAATCCACACAAAAAATCTGTAGATTAAATTCTCCAATTAGTAAATTATGGTGAAAAAAAGATTTGCATAATTAACCCGGACCGGGATCCCAAATTCCGGATTTTTTTTTTTGCATTTTCTCTCCTCTGCGTCTATTGTTATCAATTAAATCTTGACCATTTAATCCAATATTGTCCCGAGATTTTTGTAATCTTGACTTTGTTGTAATTAAATTCGTACAAATTATGTAATTATGTATGGTTTTTTTATTTTTTCCATATTAAACTTTTAATTTACTATTTGAGTTAGATATTTTTCTTAAAAGTTAGATTTTTTAAGTTTGAAATTAATTATTGTGAGAAATTTGTGGAGGAATAAAGATTTGTAAAGAGATTTGTGGGGGAGATGTTGATTTTGAAASATGAGAGTACTACGGTAATTTTACATTTAAAAATTATGAAATTATTAATAAATAAGGAAGAGTGGGGTCCTAGATTAGTTTTTTTCAAAATGGGATTATAAATCCAAAGTCAATTATGAGAGGCGTCAAAAGTTCAAATTTCCCTTTTCAAAAAGGGTGCTTATAAAACAAAAACGACCCTACAGAATGTCTATTCAGCCATATATTTTTCATAAATTTAAAATGAAAAATAATAAATAATAAACGTGATTGTTACGAACCAAAGGGTCCCCAAAAAACTTACTTTTAGTTTTGACATTTTTAAAGAGACAACTCTTCCACATTCATGTTCATAACTTGAATCGGCTCATGAGGTTGATAACTATTTACTTTTGAAAAAGCATAAAATATCCTTTGCATAAAAAATAAAAATAAAAGAGCATCAAATATTATACACACATATAAAAGAAAAGTCATCAAATACGATATATATTTAGTTTTCAAATGTCATATTTAGGAAAAATAAATTTAAAGCATAATATTCGATTTAATTAGGATTAAAATATTATTTTGGTTCCTCTATCTTAAGCTTTGGTTTATTTTGGTCTATGTACTTTAAATTTTTGTTTATTTTATTTTCTATAYTTTGAAAATATTCATTTTTGTCCATACACTTTTAAAAAGTAACTATTTTGGTCTCTTAATTTTATTTCTAATATCGTTTTTCTACCACGATTTCAACACAACACTASACTCACTATATTTATTAAAATATAACCATGGTTTTTTTTTTTATTAAAAGGTTTCCATTACGTGTATAATTTGTTTTAAAAATATGCAAGTAGGTATCAAAATTATCATTTTTTAAAAGAACGAGACTAAAATGAATCAAAGTTGAAAGTACAGAGACAAAAATGAACATTTTGAAAGTACATACACCAAAATGAACCAAAGCTCAAAGTACGAGGACAGATATAATATTTTAACTTTTAATCATTTATTGTGCCAACATTAATATTGCTCAACAAGTTAAAGATATTTGTGTTCGACGAAAAGTAGTGAGTTCAAATTCTCACCCTTTACTAAAGAAAATAATTATTTTATTTATTGTAGGATTTGAAAATAATAATAATAATAATAAATAAATAAATAACTTAGTGTTTTTGTGAAAACGACTTTAATGTTCAAATCAAATGTTGATCGTAACAAGAATTCAATAGATATTCGTCATGGTATGGACGAGACATATCTCAACATTTTTTGTAAGGTATTGCTACTCTTTTAAGATCATTTTAAGAGGTCAAAGCGAGCATAGCTCAACGATAATTGACATATATCTCCTATCAAGATGTTGTAAGTTTGATCCCACTCTTACCTGTTATACTAGAAAAGGAAAAAAAAAAAGAAAAAACCCATTTTAGGAGAAAAATTATTTTGATATTTTTTCTAATTATAGATGTTAATTAATATATTATATTTTTTAATATTTGGTAATTGGGCTAAATTTCAATTTTAAAAAATGTATTATTACAAGTTATTGTATCTAATGTTGTTTAATGACAAATCATTTTAAAAATTATTTGTATTTTACTATAAAATAAGGAGAGAAATAAGCTAGTGAGATGTTAGAGAGAGACAAAATTACCTATTCAATAGATTGTGTAGAACACGAGTTTGTTTTTTAAACGGTTTTCTCTGGTTTTAAAAAATTAATTAAAATTAAAAAAAATTAAAACGAAAATTTTGAATGGGTTTTGAAATTAAAAAATTAAAAATAGAAAACAAAATGAACCGGTTATTAAATAAATATATATAATAACTACGTTTTTAATATTTAAAATTTGGCTGGTATATACAAAAAGAAAAAAAAAACCATTTTTAGTGGCTTGGGTTAGAAAACAATAATTTTTTTTTATCAAAGAGTTTATTTAATATATATATATAAAAGACAAAAACAAAATGGTTACAAATTGATTATATATTTTTTTAGTTTTCAACCTTTACTTAGAAGTCAAAATTTTCTTTAGAACATAAAAGCAAATAACAAATTGTTATTAAATAAGTTGGTCTTTTTCAAAAGAGGAAACTAAGTCGAATAACCATCAATTTATTTTTATTTTTATTTGAAAAAGCTTATTGTAATATCTGGAATTTCACCCCTTAATAAAATTGTTTCTTTCTAAAATAAAAAAAATAAGTGGTTTAATTTGAAACACAAAACAACCTTCAAAATTTGTCTAAATTTGTATAGTTAGAGAAATAAAGCAGTATAAATTGTTTAATTAGAAACACGAAACACCTTCAAACTTTTCTCTATCTAGCTCTACTTTTTAAATAGTTCTCATAATTCATTGATATATTTACTAAAAAAAATTATAATCCATCATTTTAAGCTATTCTTTTCGTTTTGGTTAAAAATCCAGTAATATGTTAAATTTAACAATATTACCACTATATCTAAAGAAATATAAAGCTAACAAATACAAAAATGTCATTATCCATATAATTAGTTTAAGTCTTTTTTAAAAGTTTAAATTTCAATCTCACACTTTTCAATTGTTTGAAAAAGTATTCTATTGAAAAATTCCATCGTAACGAAAAATTTAAAAGATAAGATTTAAATGAAGTACATCGATTGGAGTTTAAATTGAATCATAGTCAATTATACAAATGATTTTTTACTCTATATATATAGCCATRGGCTGTCATGTGTATAACTTGCTTAGAGACATGCATTCAAGCTTCAGTTTGGACAGTCAAGATTGATTTGGGACTGAGAGAATTACATGGTGTTGACCTAAAAGATAGTTCAGCTCAGCCCAAACTTAAGAATGACGATATCTCGACGAGAATTCAGCAAGTTCTGCGTATGTCGCTGATGTTGATCTATTGACATTAAAGTAGTAGGATTGTACTTTTCAAAACTCCCATATAAATGGTGGAAGTCCCACATTTCCAAAGGTACACAATCTCTACACAACTTTACTAAGCTTAACTCGTTACTGGTTCAAATTAAGTTATAACTTCAATTTCAAAGCGTTGATAGCCGAGAATCACATCGGTACAAGGTCCTCTTTGCAAGCCATTAACTATCTTATCCTTGATGAGTTTGATAATGTGTCATCTTATCCACAATACTGCATCAAACAACTTTATTATCAATTTTTAAAATTTTTTTAATTTTAAGTTGCTAATGAAGATTTTATAGTAAAGCAAATCACAATCCAACCCCAGCTATTACGTTAAGAACACAATTTAAAAAAAAGAGTCACTTCTTAAATTTTCAAGAAAATTAAACTCAACAGATTATTTGTCAAAGATAGTTGCAACAGTTCAAAATTTTCTCCAGCTTCCACGTGTACAATTCCAAGAAAAAGACAAAAATCATTGTCCCTTCTCGAACAAATTTCGTTTCGAACCGGGCATTCCCTTCCACCACTTGTCAAAGAGTCATTAGTTAACAGAAAAGTCACGTGACAAGCATGCCCCCATCTCCTCAAAGTCATAAAACCCCTTTAAAAACAATTTCAATTTGATATAAAAAGAATACAAAATGAAATAATTACAAAAATAAAAATAAAAATAATAAAATA